GCCACTAAACAAATTATTGACTGGGAAGAAAATCTAATTGATTTTGTTTATTTGTTCTGAAAAACGTATAAATCTTTCAGTGTGTTTTATTCTGTATTGTTTACTATTTTTTGACGGCCTAGTGCTTGTAGAATTTGTAGACACACTTTTAGCTCAATTGATGGTCTAAATTAGATTACTTTACTAAACAACAAATGTTTTCCTTTATAATGTTGTGGTCGTTATCACTACTTATTACTCGAAGGCAAAATTAAAATAACATTAACTTCGCAATGTACAATTGATATATTTGGTTGATATATTACCTTTGAATAATTATTGTTCCCAATTATTATAATAAAAACATAAAATTGCATATAACATGTTTTACGTATATTAATGTTGTAGAATGAGTTATTTCCAACATGTTAATAGTTTTATGAAAACAGTTACAGCAAGATTGTGGCCAATTGTTATAATATGCAAATAAAATTGTATATAATATTATAATGAACTTGTATATAGATTTGTAGAAAGAGTGATCTCTAACTTGTTTATCAAAATAGTTATTAAGCAAAATTGTGTTGGTAATCCATATAAAACTCCCAAAGTACCCATGAACTTTTGAGAAAGCTAAATGTCACACCCACATAAACCATATACTTAAAATGTTCGTCATGACGAGAAACCTTGCGCAAAACATTATTTCATAGATTGCTTTTAAGGTCGTAATTCCTTTATCAAAAGACCTCTTTAGTCTTTCCATATACCTAATGTTAAAAATTCCTCAGCTGTACTTATTTGTTTGTTATTCTTTCAATGTTGTCCATAGATAAATCATACTCCCTTAGGTATTACCTTATTAAAATCAGGTGCGATTATTTGTTTGTATTACTGTATTCTGTTTTGTTTATTTCAGCTTCTTTAAATCAATAGTTTTATTAATACGTATGAAGTCAAACGGGGTGAAGCCCGTGGGTAACAGCTAGCTATATAATCAATGTTCTTCGTAACAATTTCAAAATAAAAATGAACCTCTATACTTATTAAAATGTTGTCCATACCCCACTCATAAAATTACCCCAGGTACAGTCGTTAGTTAGTTACTAGAGCAAGATGATTATTGTGTCTATACTCTTTAGACCTATGTCGATTGTAGTTAGTTACTAGAGCAAGATGATTATTGTGTCTTTACTCTTTAGACCTATATCTATTGTAGTTAGTTACTAGAGCAAGATGATTATTGTGTCTATACTCTTTAGACCTATGTCGATTGTAGTTAGTTACTAGAGCAAGATGATTATTGTGTCTATACTCTTTAGACCTATGTAGGTTGTAGTTAGTTACTAGAGCAAGATGATTATTGTGTCTATTATCTTTAGACCTACCTATATCTATTGTAGTTAGTTACTAGAGCAATATGATTATTGTGTCTATACTCTTTAGACCTATGTCGATTGTAGTTAGTTACTAGAGCAAGATAATTATTGTGTCTATACTCTTTAGACCTATGTCGATTGTAGTTAGTTACTAGAGCATGATAATTATTGTGTCTATACTCTTTAGACCTATGTCGATTGTAGTTAGGCCCAGCCCTCCAAGACTGCAGCACTGTCTTGTTTCTGGGATAAAAAATATGTTGTATGTAATTCTGAATGTACATGGGTAGTTTTATTTCATTTTTTCACTTACATATCACAAATCTTGCTGACAAAAATACAAAAAAAATTATGGTAAGATTAATAGTTTATTTTGTTGCAACATTTGTTTTAAAAATTAGATTTATTTTTACGAAGAGGATTAGAATTTTATGGAGGGAGATGTGGGATTAATTAACTGCAGGAATACTATTATGTTGAACAAAAGCTCTTCTCAATTAATAACTCTGGACTTAGGACTAATTAATTTTAGTAAACAATCTCAATGACAAGGATTTTAATTTTCTTTCAAACAGCCTGATACAATAATAATAAGTTACAGTCCTGTAGTATTTTGTGCCGTATTTAGTTTGCCTCTGTTTTATTGAGTAGTATAATCATATTATTTAGGTCTAAAGGTTTAAAACACGTTAAATATTAACAGTAATAGAAGATGGAAGAATTAATTTCATACTAGGATTTGTCTTGTAATTCGTATTAATGGTGAATTAATTATGAATTAATCAGCTGGATACACTTAAATGAGTTTCCGAACCAGCAAGATCGGGTCATGGAAGCAAATCGGGTGTTTTGGGGGTGTAGTTGTTAAAAAAATAGGGGTTTTTCAAATTTGTACCCATTTAACATAAAAAAACTAGCAATTTTTATTACAACCTTCAAGTAAGTAGAGTAAAAAAACTAAATCATTTTGTACGCGGAAGTGGTGTAGGATTAAAGGTTAAGGAGAATATTCCATAAGACTTTACTACCTACTTGAAAATGCATTTAAAACTAATTACTGCACTATATTATTTTTATGGACGAGAAGTAGACTTTTGTAATTTGCTAACTAACAATGTTGTAATATGCAACATTACATGCTACGTATTTACACATATGTAAATATACACATACACACATATGCACAAAAAATACGCATCTGTAGATATAGGCATATGTATGTGTATTATTATTATTACATATTTGCATAGCGTTGTGTTGTTGCAATGTTGTGAGTGTTTTGTTGTATGTTGTGTATTGTATTTGTGTGTGTGCTATGTTCTTGTTGTTTGTTGTATATGTTTTTGTATTGAGAAAATTTGGCTGTTGTATGTATTTCATATAAGCATATAACCATAAAACAGTTTTTCCCTCACTATACCAGCTTTATAAAGTTTCCTGTGATTTTTAACGAAGTACTCGTTTAATCTAATGTCATTTTAATAGGGTATAAATCTTGCAAGTTCAAGACAATATTTTAGTCAAAGATTACTTACCTGATTAGATTAGATCATTTACCTGTAATCATTACACTTATGTAGAATACTTTCACATTATGTAGTATTTCAAAAAGCTTGTTTCTGTATTTTGGATATAAAATGCAATATTGTTTTGCAGATGGTGATGCCATTCTTTTTTGACGCGAAAGACTCCAGCAACGCGTTCAGGGACTCCCGTTCTTCGCACATTTCATTCTTCAAGGGTCCCGACGGTAACTGCTACCGACAAGTGATCACTAACGACAACGGCAACGAGGTGATCAGGAATGAGAAGGTCGACTGTGCTGAGGCAGAGCGAGAGATGAAGGAACATCAGGCCAAGACTCAGCACAAGATCAAGCAGCAGTTCCACAAAGTCAATGAGGACATGAAAAAAACACAAAAAGCCATCGAGGACCAAATCAAAAACAGCATGAAGAGTTTTAACTTCTTCTAAAACAACGCTTTAAATTCAAACGTTTGGAGTAAATTATGTGATAATACTTACTTGAAAATAAAACTAGAATGAAACTGTTTTTATTTGTCTAGACCAAAAAATATGTTTTAAAGTATAAAACCCGTATTACATGAGAATTTGTAACGATGATATGCTAAAATAGTTAGCTCATGATTCCATGGTAAAATGATAGGGGTATAATATAATGATTTCGGAGTGGTTGCCAAGTGGCTCATTTTACAACTTTGCAGGCAAAATTAGAATAGTAAACCCAAAATCTACTCAAAACTCAATTGTGAGTACTCTGTGAATAATGTTAAAAAGATCGATTCAGACACATCAGTTGCGGCAAGCAGTCAAGGTACATGGTGCAGTCACATCAGTAAAGCATTCTTTAATGGTTTTTAATTGCGCTATCTACACTCATCCTACGCAGTTCCGTCAGTCAATTTCAGATTCCTTCTCACCGGTATTTTTGTATTGTTCGGACGCCTGACGGACGTGTTTAAGGTAAGAAAATAGTTTTTTGTTTGTTATTTAAATGACTGTGTTTATATTATAAGTACTGTTTGTAACAATCAACTAGATGGACGATGAAAATTTTGTAGAATATAGTGTTAGCAAATAGTACCATATACAAATAACAAAAAAACCACATTTAACACTAATGGACCCATTTCATTTAGTGTTAACCCAAAATAACATGCATTTGATATAGGAAAATATTACTTTTTTTGTTATTTACACAAAAACAAAAAGAGATAGGAAGTAAGTGTACACATAAAGTTGTTAAGAATTGAAAAACCTATAAAATGATGTGCCTTTTGACATATGTTGCTATTTGAAAATTTTAAACAATGCATATTTGCAAATTTACAAAACTCAATTTTTTTGAAATTTTTATTATAAACAAACCCGTTACTTGTAGCATATCACAGGAAAGCTAATTTCATAACGAATAAGAACATTCAACCGAAGAAAGGCTGCATAGGTATAGAAAACACAGAGTTTTAAACACGGCATATTGATTTTTTCCAAAAATAACTGCCACCATTTTGAAACGGAAAAAGATAATTATTAATATCTGTGTTCACCAAAATGTCCAAACTGTCTATTAAATACCTTTACATGACAATGACAAAATTGATGTATAACATGACATGTTTAAGTTGGAAAATTCCGAGTTTATTGAGTGGTAAATAATTTTATCTTATCCTTCTACATTTTTCCGTAATCAATTTGAGACAACTTACGTGGGACTGTATACAGGGTTGAATGTGACCCTGTAGTAGGTACATTACTAATTTATGTACCTACTAACTAAAATTAAAATTAGTACTGAAAACAAATTTTATAATAGATAATTTTTTAGACAAGTTAGATTATTGTTTGTCTATTCATGGAATACCTATTATTTCGAAAAGTAATGTTAATCGAGCCAAAACGATTAAAAACCTTTAAATCACAACTAATCAAGTCAAAATATTCACTGAGTTAAGTAAGATGTTCAGTGTGAGACTTGGATATGACTGAGGAAGATAGCCGATGTTATCATACTCGTTATGATATGTTACGATAACTCGTTAGAGATATACTCCATAAATCAACCGATAGTCCATCTCTGCAGTCCATCCAAGTTTACGCCTTTTTGTAGCAGCTTAACCGTTTTGTTGAATGGTTAAAGCGAGCCCTATTACACTTTCAGAAAAATTGGATATTTGGATGTTTGGTTATTTATAATTTGTTTTTTAATCTAGTTCGTAAACTGTGAACCCATCACTTAAAAATGACCAAAGAGGTAAGAAGACATGACTATTGCATACCTTTGTTGAATGAGCTTTATTGACTGTAACAATAATCAACCCTCAGATGGTCAAAATTATTTACTACTCTGTCAAGTTTCAAGACGATGATGATCAACTAGTAAATAATTACTGGCTGTTGCGACTTTAATATTTCTAAATTGACATAGGCTATACAAATTTGAGCCACAAGTTTTGTGAAGCTTAATAACTATAAAATGCACGCAATAGCCATAAGAAACGCGTTCTCTTATCAGGGCTACTGATAAGTAAGAATTTCAGGTTTATTTGTATAGTCTTTAGGACAAATATAAAACTTCAAAATACGGGTGTTATTGCATACAGGTTAGTGATTTTAGTACCTACTAATAAACGGCACCAGCCAAAAAACTGACGCATACCTTCTATTAGCTTGTCAACAACTTTTATTGTGTATAAGGTAAGCGTTGGGAGTAACTTCTCTATTTCGTGCGTAAAATCACAACAATTGCAGTAAGTTTTGAAACTTAATTTTTACAGTATTGAGGGTGTGTACCTTTTTGTTGAAACTAGAATAATATACAAAATTTATATAAAAACCGTTTGAGTCGTGTTCGTAAAATAGTAATTTCCGTTATTTTTTTGAGTTATGAGAATGTCACCTATAATAGTCAAAGGATAACAATATAATAAGCACCTGGAGGTACCTTGGAGTAGTATCTAAATACCAAATTTAATCCAAATCTGATAACATGACTGTGTAGTCTGAAGCGCAGTCACATCCACTTTACACATACATACATACATACATACGGACACACAGATAGATATCACTTTCACGCAAAACTGAAATATAATGTTGAGATTGTAGCACAACGGATTGAGTTATCAAATAATTAAATAACTTACGTCATCAATCCATAAATGGATTGATCACGTATTATGGATTGATGACGTAAGTTATTTAATTAAAACTGAAATACTAAAATTTTGACGAAAAAGATACTTTCACCCTATACAATGTATTGGGGGCGAAACTAAAAAGCAATACTTAGACATTAAAACTCCCAATTTATTCTGAAGATCAACATTTAGCATTATAAGAGATATGCGTATTTGCATAAAAAAGTGTATCTAATACGAGTATAGTGGTTTGGTATAAATGTATACTAATGTATATACTATATATATACTAATGTACCATATGTATATTTAATGTATGCTAGGTAAACCGAATAGTGACTAACAAACATTAATATTTCCTTTATATCACACAGTGGCAGTAACAACCTCTAGCCCTCATTTATGTATTAGAGGTTATAACGGGTCACATGCATTCATTTGTAAAAACAAGAAACAAGATTCCAACAACAGCCAATTTGTTCTATTTGCTGGAGATTGTATTGTAAACTTGATATCTTATAATTATTTCAACATTACCTTGCCTCCACGTCCAACCATACTTACTAACTAATAATATCACTTGAAATATAAATGTATACAATTATTCTCATTATGACATATGTCTTTTTTATGCCATTGACTGTTATATAGTCATTTAAATTTAATGTTAGATGATATTCAACGACCTAATAATGACATTAGAATAATGCCAACTGGAGTGATAAAAAACAGTGTTCCAAAAACCACAATCGAAACGATAACAGATCCCCGTCCTCAGTGGTCAAGTCAGCATGTAAATGTCAAGTAATTTTAAAATGATAATTCAACTCAAAACTACCCTTAACACTCATTGTACTATATTAACTTTGAGTTCCCCACATCATTCATTATCTTGGAAAAATAGGGTGAAAAGAAAAAATCTATTGCTGTAATTTTTATAAAATTTATTTGCTGTATTAAATTTATAAATAAAAAAACTGTTGTTTGGTTTGATATAATGTAAGATTTAACCAATCCAAATTAAAATATCTAAACATTGTTCTAGGAAGTAAGTGAAGACGTGTTGTACAAAACACACACTGCCATAGAGAAGCTGTCAGATGGCAGTTGTGTCAAACGAGTGACGATAACTAGGAATGGAAAATCTGAAGTAAAAGAAGAAAAGGTAGATTGCGAGTCTGCACTCAATGACGCGAGAGGGACAGACGGCAAAGACGAGGTTGTATTCAAACAAAACAATGACGATTTCGATAAGAAGATGAAAGAAAAATTAAGCGAAATGAACAAAAGCTTTTCTACCCAAAAAGAGCCTACTCTGTCAACTAGAGAAGAAACATATACTGATGGAACCAACAAGACGGTAAAAGTAACTCGCGAAAGCAGTTCCATAGAAGAAACCAAGAAAACAGAGAAGATACCTGATGGTACCAAAAGATCCTTAAAAATAACACGAGAAAGCTTTCTCGAAGAAACTAAGAAAAGCGTTAGTCCAGAATCTGTATTACCTGAGGACTTAAAAGAACGAGTCAACATTCTGGACGAGAGCTTCAAGGAGCAGGCAAATGAAGGATCAGAAGGTGCGAGTTCTGAAAAAGTAGAACCTGATGGAGCAGTACAAGGGAATACTAATGTCACTGAACCATCTAAGGGCGAAAAGTCGGGAGCTTTGAGAGAAATAGAGGAATCAGATGGTGACCTACCGGAATCGGACGAAGGGGCTACAAACGAAAATATGGAACTAGCAGAATCTGAAGACAGCTTCCTTACTAAGTTTGTGAAAACAGCTTTTAAAATATTATTTTATCCCTTATATGCATTAAATATTTTGTAAAATTTCAAGTACAGTATTTGACGAGTTATTATAAAAATGTATAATTGATTCACAGGGTCAAATTTAGATTCGCTTACACTAGCAATGCAGACATATATAATCAGGTCGTAGACTGGTCTTAACTAATCATGGTGGAAGAGATAAAATATAATACTTAACCAATGGTTCTTTGAGGTGTAATAATATAGAGACACATACAACTGTGAATAGTAATTTTCATTAGTTATAGGACCAACGTTAGCTTTTCCCATAGTCTACATAACTGCTCGTGATGGCACCTCTGTACGTGGAAGACGTGCAAAAAGTAAAGTAAATGCATTATAATCTTACATGTTTTAATGCAAGACGGAAATATAATTTCAGTCTATGTTACATATTGGGACACACACACACACTAGACAGTAGAACCCACTAGAGCTGGTTCTGTATATCTTATATACTGAACTTAGTAACAAATTCCATATTTCTTAACACTGTATTGAAAACTTTAATGGGCATTTAAAAATACTAATTTAGAATTGGGTTATCCATTATTTCAACTACATATGCACTCTAAATACAATAACAATGCTACCACTTTAAATATTAAAGCTTGCTATAAAAATAGGAAATATAAAAATATGTTATTTTACGTGTAAATGATTAAATTCTAAGATGGGGTTAGGATAATTAATTGGTTTCTATTTTGTTTTGCCTTGCTTGGTTCTCTTTAATAGATTGGACAAGAGGTCGTGCAGTATAATTTGAATTTTCTCAAATATACAGAGTGTTAAAAAAGGTGGGGGACATAATGTACGTATGATTCCTTGGGTCAAATAAAGAGAAAATCAAGAATAAAATTTTTTCCAAAATTGCTTCGTTAACCAGATATCCGCCATTTTGTATTTTTTACATACACATTTGTATCTATGAAATTGTTCAACCGATCATTAAAATTCCCTATCAAACAGTACCAAGTTTAAAAATATCGAATAAGAAATAGCTGAAAAATATTAAGTTTTTTAGTTGTAAAATGGGGCAAACCTGTCTAGCTCAGCCTTATTCTACCCCCTTACAAAATGGCGGATATATGGTTGACGAAGCGATTAGGAGAAAATGTTATTCATGATTTTCTTATTATTTTTACCCAAGGAATCACAACGTAAATAATTATGTCTCCACCTTTTTTGAACACCCTATATATCGTCAACGGAAGTTTCAAATTACCATCTATCTTGAAATTTTATTGCTCGTCTTACATTTTGAAGGTCGTCAGTCAATTGAGTAAAACGTTTTCATCAAAACGGTAGACCTCGTTAAACGAAGTCTTACCTATTCTAACCTAAAGAATATGCCCTTAGCCTGTAATATTGTTGAAACATTGTTATTGTTGCCTCAATACATGAATCAGCACAGAGAACTGTATACAAATAGTTGAGACAAGTAAATACGACTACTGTTAGAGGATTGCATAGTGTGAATGAATACAGTATACATGAAAATGACTAGCATGTGTGATAAAAAGAAGACGAAATAGCAATATAATCTGCTTAGTCCGTGGAGTTTCAGAAGAAAACTTGATTATTTTACGATAGTTTTATTCTGGGGAGAGAAAAAGGCAGGAAAAGTAAATAATGCATTTAATTAACCATTCTTGGAACAAAATATGTTGACGTCTTTAAAACAAGAATTTGTTTTATTGATTTATTACTAAAAGAGTAACACAATTACATATATACATACCTACCACATAATGAACATATTTAAACCTTTATTAATGATAAAATATGACAACTTGCAAAAATAAATGTCTATGTACACTTATCAATTAATTACAAAGTTAGAGTTGGAAGAAATCTATTCTACTGGTAGATGAGATAGAATTAAGTGGGATAAAGATATAGAGACCTAATTCTAATAGAGTAAAATTTCTAACCTAATAATATCATTCATATTACTAGTTGGTCACCGTTAAGTTTTATAATATATCATCGAAACACAAATATTAGTAATACAGCTCAACCATATAGTCCTCAAGTTTATAAATAAATCACACGTTGAATATAGTATAAAATCTAGCATTTACTTGAAAAAGTACTAACCATTCCCAGATAAAGTTAATAAGAAACAGAATTTCTCAAAGCTGACGGCTAGCTATGTTTTATGTCTCACAAAGGGGTTATGCGACGAGGAAGAGAATGTATAAAGAGTCTGAGTACACCATTCCTACTTTGCTTACAGACAACAAGGTTGATATTAGTTGTTCAGTTGCTCTACTTCCCACACTTACCATGATCAATGATTTATGCGATTGAGTACAGACGTAATATGTACCAACGAGTGGTCTTGTATTATTAAATTTTGTTAACAACGTCAATTTGATGATTGGGCTATTGCTTTGAAAGATCATTAAATTCAATTTAAGTTGAATACAGTGATATAAAATAAACTATTGAATGATTGAATTTAGTTCAATAGTTGTAGAACATAGTTTACCAAATTAAGGCATTATTTCCTTTTGATCGAGAAATAAATAGAAAACAACATACGGGTGATAATAGAAATTGAGCCCTTGGTTAGACATTTTGGTTAAGTAACTTCTCACGTTACTTAATTGTTACGTACACTGCATTATACTAGTTGATGTCATCTTTGTTGTTACATCAAAAACTTATACTTCATAAATAGCAATATGAATAATATGGAGACTATGACCAGGACCTATGTGTGGAAATGAACCAGTCAAAAAAGTAATTATAAGGAGGTAATGTGTCTTTTTTTCTAATGATTAATATTGCAGTATCCCCAATTAGTGAACCATACTCTAAGCCACCAACATACTCTTCGTTATCATACTCTGTAAGTGATAACTACTAAATAGTTTGTATTTATGCTTTTTCATTGAAACAATACGTTTATGAGTAAGTTTTGAAATAGTTATGCTGTGAGTAGTTCGCTTCTTGTTGTCGTAGGCACTCATACTGTAGGCACATCTCTGGGATCTGCTAGACACTAGTTGCCAGATGCAATCCGTGCCACATTAAACGTTGCATGTAATGCTAAGAGTTTTAATTGTTATTTTTAGTACTTCATTAGCTGAAGGTAATGGGTCTTATCTCACACTATCAAGAACATTTTGTGGTAAGGTGGGGAGAGCCCTAAATCACTAATGTACAAACCTCAAATCACACGTTGTATACAATAGTAATATAAAAATGTTCGTAAAGTGACCAACATTTGAAATTACAATGAAATATGTATCGTTAAATTACAAATTACAAAATAATTGTGTTAACAACAATGACTTACAACGTTGTAGCTTTAGTTTTGATATGTCAGGGTGAGAATGATTTTAACAAAAATATGTAATAGGTACGTACACAACTCATTAATTTATGCTTATGAGTTTAAATTCACTTACATGGTGGAACTTAGAACAAAATCCCGTTCTACAAGCAGGAGATACAGCCTTTCTATTAACTTTTTAAATCTCCACAAGTTTTACAGATACGCTTGAACCCTCACAACTAGCCTTTTGTCCCAGTTATTATTGTTAACGATGGATGTAGACTTAAAATACGAGTAAAACAACTTTAACCATGGAGCATAAACTAGTTTGACATCTGAAATAGAGTTTATACTAACAATACTATTGAAATTCTTCTCAAGCATTTCACTTGCAGAATAGAATATAAGTAGTACACCATTAGTTTTTTTACATCTAGTCACTCTGGTTTGTAGGCCAAAAATTAGTAAAATATCCTAATTCTATTTATTTGTGCAATAAATCAAACAACATCGATGGTTTCATCAAATTAAAAGAAAGGAATAAGCTTTCAAACAGGAAAGACAATGTCTTTAGTGTAACCTTTATACAACATATGTCATTAAAGGAAACGCAAATAAAAAATTGTAAACTCTAAGACCATGTATAAATGTAAAAAATGAAACCACTTGTTTAAAACACCATAAACAAATTATTTCACAATACGTTTCCCGGAATCATTTTGATTCTAAAACACAAACAAAACAATTGTTTCGCAAAGTTATGATTCAACATATCTAGGGTACACAGGTCATACAGTTGATTATGTACGGACAATTTATCATCACGAACTATTACTATAAACATTACAACAAAATATATGTTATTCTATTTATTATTTATTTAGTTAATATTTACATGATTTTACAAACGGAATTGAGTTATAAAAACGGGACAGAACATTTAATTACAAACATATGTTAGAAATTATGCTTCGTTATGAGAATGCTCATAATAAAAGCATATTACTGTAATTGATTAAGACACAATTAATGGGCATTTTATACTTTAATAAATTGTTATGAACTTGTCATAGAATAATCCTAAATTAATCTCTACAAGTATATGGAAACAGTACAATTAATGGGTTTGCTTATTACAGAAGATTTGTATATTTTATGCATAAGTTTTGTTAGTTTGCCAAAGTAAAATGCTACAAATATTCGTTCAAACCAATCGAGAATATCATAGATAAAACATACTCCCTTAGAGAATATCTAGCTTAAACACATGTTTTTTTTATTAAAAAGGGCAAATAAAAAATGTAAAATGATATTTGATTTTAATTTCTAATTCCATAAATGTAACTGTACACAACATAATATTTTATAACAAACATTCAACTAATATCGTAACTATTTTTCAAATCACAAATCGCATTCTCAAAAATACGCTATAACCAACACGTAAGTAGAAAAACATGAAACACATTCTAGTATAACTATCCAAAAATCAACAAGTTGAGTCTCAGGCATAACACAACGTTTGCCGTGGAAACAGGGAAGGCAAGGTTATTGCATAGTAGAGTTAGGTTTAGAATGGGTCGTTGTCTAATTATTCGTTTAAACATGTTAAGTTTAGCGTTTAAAACATCCGAAGTTAAATAATTAAAACACACTCGGCCATACGTTGTCCTGCTGGCTTGTGGGATTAGTCAAGTTCTCAAAGAAGGGTTCATTTAGGAAATGTGGATTACCTGTGGATGGATTTTGCCATGTGTTACCGTGACAAATAAATAGTTTAGTTTTGGTGTAGTATTTCATGATTATAACGATTGTTTGGTTTAGATTTAAAACTTCAGCTTATCAATATGAAGCATGCTAAGTGAAAGTGACTGACGAGTTGTAAATTACCTCTTGCATGCATAAAAGTGGAAACTAACCACGAGCTACGGTTTCATAATGTATGAGCGAGAACGTACGTACAAGGACATACTAAGTATCAGTAGTTCATACATAGGCTAGGAGATTGAAGTTATATTAAAATGACCGTTTAAACTGTTAACACAGTCTAAATTTGATGATGACCTGTCATACATTTGCATCATCTTTTTATTGAGGAATTTATGTAATATTATTCGTGTAATTTAAGTAAACTATATAGATTAGATTACATTACTCATAATGAATAAATTTACAAATAAAAAGATCAGGAAACGCAATAAAAAGATTTCACCAAACAACGACCCGACACAGGTTGTAATCATGACTATTATTCATGCTTTTATAGGCATTATCGATTAGTCTAACATTTAAAATAACTTATATAAAGCAAATGACAGAATTTAAAATTGGTGTTAGTCTTTAAATATTTGCCAATGCACGGTACCTATCACTTCCAAACATTTTATATAACCACAAACAAGGTCCAGAGAGAAAAGTCCTCGAAGGCATTGCTTTGAGACGATCACAAGACTGTGTCGAGAGTCTCCAGTGATTGTAGGATCTGGTCATCTCGAGAGCACCACTCTACCAGCTCGTCTATCGTCACCACACCGTCCTTGTTTGTGTCTATCAACTGAACAGTACATGAAATAATCAGTGATCAGTGTGTAGCTCACAATGCAACTCAGTGTGAAGACTTTCAAGGATAAGTAGGATCTGGCCATTTCGAGAGCATCACTCTACCAGCTCGTCTATCGTCACCACACCGTCCTTATTTGTGTCTATCAACTGAACAGTACATGAAATAATCAGTGATCAGAGTGTAGCTCACAATGCAACTCAGTGTGAAGTCTTTCAAGGATAAGTAGGATCTGGCCATCTCGAGAGCATCACTCTACCAGCTCGTCTATCGTCACCACACCGTCCTTGTTTGTGTCTATCAACTGAACAGTACATGAAATAATCAGTGATCAGTGTGTAGCTCACAATGCAACTCAGTGTGAAGACTTTCAAGGATAAGTAGGATCTGGCCATCTCGAGAGCACCACTCTACCAGCTCGTCTATCGTCACCACACCGTCCTTGTTTGTGTCTATCAACTGAACAGTACATGAAATAATCAGTGATCTGAGTGTAACTCACAATGCAACTGAGTGTGAAGTCTTTCAAGGATAAGTAGGATCTGGCCATCTCGAGAGCATCACTCTACCAGCTCGTCTATCGTCACCACACTGTCCTTGTTTGTGTCTATCAACTGAACAGTACATAAAATAATCAGTGATCTGAGTGTAACTCACAATGCAACTGAGTGTGAAGTCTTTCAAGGATAAGTAGGATCTGGTCATCTCGAGAGCATCACTCTACCAGCTCGTCTATCGTCACCACACTGTCCTTGTTTGTGTCTATCAACTGAACAGTAATTTACATGAAATAATCAGTGATCAGAGTGTAGCTCACAATGCAACTCAGTGTGAAGTCTTTCAAGGATAAGTAAGATCTGGTCATCTCGAGAGCATCACTCTACCAGCTCGTCTATCGTCACCACACTGTCCTTGTTTGTGTCTATCAACTGAACAGTACATGAAATAATCAGTGATCAGAGTGTAGCTCACAATGCAACTCAGTGTGAAGTCTTTCAAGGATAAGTAAGATCTGGTCATCTCGAGAGCATCACTCTACCAGCTCGTCTATCGTCACCACACTGTCCTTGTTTGTGTCTATCAACTGAACAGTACATGAAATAATCAGTGATCAGAGTGTAGCTCACAATGCAACTCAGTGTGAAGTCTTTCAAGGATAAGTAAGATCTGGTCATCTCGAGAACATCACTCTACCAGCCCGTCTATCGTCACCACACTGTCCTTGTTTGTGTCTATCAACTGAACAGTACATGAAATAATCAGTGATCTGAGTGTAACTCACAATGCAACTGAGTGTGAAGTCTTTCAAGGATAAGTAGGATCTGGTCATCTCGAGAGCATCACTCTACCAGCTCGTCTATCGTCACCACACTGTCCTTGTTTGTGTCTATCAACTGAACAGTACATGAAATAATCAGTGATCTGAGTGTAACTCACAATGCAACTCAGTGTGAAGACTTTCAAGGATAAGTAGGATCTGGTCATCTCGAGAGCACCACTCTACCACCTCGTCTATCGTCACCACACTGTCCTTGTTTGTGTCTATCAACTGAACAGTACATGAAATAATCAGTGATCAGTGTGTAACTCACAATGCAACTGAGTGTGAAGTCTTTCAAGGATAAGTAGGATCTGGTCATCTCGAGAGCATCACTCTACCAGCTCGTCTATCGTCACCACACCGTCCTTGTTTGTGTCTATCAAATGAACAGTACATGAAATAATCAGTGATCAGTGTGTAACTCACAATGCAACTGAGTGTGAAGTCTTTCAAGGATAAGTAGGATCTGGTCATCTCGAGAGCACCACTCTACCAGCTCGTCTATCGTTACCACACTGTCCTTGTTTGTGTCTATCAACTGAAGAGTACATGAAATAATCAGTGATCAGTGTGTAACTCACAATGCAACTGAGTGTGAAGTCTTTCAAGGATAAGTAGGATCTGGTCATCTCGAGAGCACCACTCTACCAGCTCGTCTATCGTCACCACACTGTCCTTGTTTGTGTCTATCAACTGAACAGTACATGAAATAATCAGTGATCTGAGTGTAGCTCACAATGCAACTGAGTGTGAAGTCTTTCAAGGATAAGTAGGATCTGGTCATCTCGAGAGCACCACTCTACCACCTCGTCTATCGTCACCACACTGTCCTTGTTTGTGTCTATCAACTGAACAGTACATGAAATAATCAGTGATCAGTGTGTAACTCACAATGCAACTGAGTGTGAAGTCTTTCAAGGATAAGTAGGATCTGGTCATCTCGAGAGCATCACTCTACCAGCTCGTCTATCGTCACCACACCGTCCTTGTTTGTGTCTATCAAATGAACAGTACATGAAATAATCAGTGATCAGTGTGTAACTCACAATGCAACTGAGTGTGAAGTCTTTCAAGGATAAGTAGGATCTGGTCATCTCGAGAGCACCACTCTACCAGCTCGTCTATCGTTACCACACTGTCCTTGTTTGTGTCTATCAACTGAAGAGTACATGAAATAATCAGTGATCAGTGTGTAACTCACAATGCAACTGAGTGTGAAGTCTTTCAAGGATAAGTAGGATCTGGTCATCTCGAGAGCACCACTCTACCAGCTCGTCTATCGTCACCACACTGTCCTTGTTTGTGTCTATCAACTGAAGAGTACATGAAATAATCAGTGATCAGAGTGTAACTCACATTACAACTCAGGGTTGAAGACTTTCAAGGATAAGTAGGATCTGGTCATCTCGAGAGCACCACTCTACCAGCTCGTCTATCGTCACCACACTGTCCTTGTTTGTGTCTATCAACTGAACAGTACATGAAATAATCAGTGATCAGTGTGTAACTCACAATGCAACTGAGTGTGAAGTCTTTCAAGGATAAGTAGGATCTGGTCATCTCGAGAGCACCACTCTACCAGCTCGTCTATCGTCACCACACTGTCCTTGTTTGAGTCTATCAACTGAACAGTACATAAAATAATCAGTGATCTGAGTGTAACTCACAATGCAACTGAGTGTGAAGTCTTTCAAGGATAAGTAAGATCTGGTCATCTCGAGAACATCACTCTACCAGCTCGTCTATCGTCACCACACTGTCCTTGTTTGTGTCTATCAACTGAACAGTACATGAAATAATCAGTGATCTGAGTGTAACTCACAATGCAACTCAGTGTGAAGTCTTTCAAGGATAAGTAAGATCTGGTCATCTCGAGAACATCACTCTACCAGCTCGTCTATCGTCACCACACTGTCCTTGTTTGTGTCTATCAACTGAACAGTACATAAAATAATCAGTGATCTGAGTGTAACTCACAATGCAACTGAGTGTGAAGTCTTTCAAGGATAAGTAAGATCTGGTCATCTCGAGAGCACCACTCTACCACCTCGTCTATCGTCACCACACTGTCCTTGTTTGTGTCTATCAACTGAACAGTACATAAAATAATCAGTGATCTGAGTGTAACTCACAATGCAACTGAGTGTGAAGTCTTTCAAGGATAAGTAAGATCTGGTCATCTCGAGAACATCACTCTACCAGCTCGTCTATCGTCACCACACTGTCCTTGTTTGTGTCTATCAACTGAACAGTACATAAAATAATCAGTGATCTGAGTGTAACTCACAATGCAACTGAGTGTGAAGTCTTTCAAGGATAAGTAAGATCTGGTCATCTCGAGAGCACCACTCTACCACCTCGTCTATCGTCACCACACTGTCCTTGTTTGTGTCTATCAACTGAACAGTACATGAAATAATCAGTGATCTGAGTGTAACTCACAATGCAACTCAGTGTGAAGACTTTCAAGGATAAGTAGGATCTGGTCATCTCGAGAGCACCACTCTACCAGCTCGTCTATCGTCACCACACCGTCCTTGTTTGTGTCTATCAACTGAACAGTACATGAAATAATCAGTGATCAGTGTGTAACTCACAATGCAACTGAGTGTGAAGTCTTTCAAGGATAAGTAGGATCTGGTCATCTCGAGAGCACCACTCTACCAGCTCGTCTATCGTCACCACACTGTCCTTGTTTGTGTCTATCAACTGAAGAGTACATGAAATAATCAGTGATCAGTGTGTAACTCACAATGCAACTGAGTGTGAAGTCTTTCAAGGATAAGTAGGATCTGGTCATCTCGAGAGCACCACTCTACCAGCTCGTCTATCGTCACCACACTGTCCTTGTTTGTGTCTATCAACTGAAGAGTACATGAAATAATCAGTGATCAGAGTGTAACTCACATTACAACTCAGGGTTGAAGTTTTTAAAGAATACCACTATCTGGTAATTTTGAGAGCACCTCCATATAAACTAGTTTATCATTATCATGACGTTAGTAAAGTTTAAAAACACAACACTTAATATATGGTAACTGTTTTAAGCAGTGTAAAATAATTTACTCAATATTGTCATTATAATAGGTGTAGGCTAACACCTTAAGAGCAGTTACCCCTTTACCAGTTCGTCAATTGCCAGGAATTAGTGAGTCGTTTTGAGTCATAATTCGTGCAATTGAATTACGGAGTATATTGTTAAACCTTAACTAATCACAAGAGCTGATTATATATTTTATTACAAAACCATTTTAAATTGATATGTTACTTGTTTCAAAAATCTCTCCTGTATTTAATTAATACTAAAAAATCATTTATATTTATTTCAATGTTTTGTTTAAAATATTTGATTTTTGGAAAATTCTAAAAGACATAAACTCACAGTAAACGGAATAAGTAATAGTGCAAGTAAACATGACACGGTTTTTGCTTAACTCTCCATAATAATATATGATTGAGCAATCACATTTTCAAGTGACAAAAAAATTAAATCCATCCTTTTTTTAGCGAATTTCCCTATAGGGAAGTAGCTATTACCGTAGGTCTCATGGTAAGACCTAGGCTCGGGACCGATTTTTCTTTTTTATTTTGATATCCCCAGAGGCCAAAAACACCATCTGTTCAAATTTTTATATATGTTCTAATTATAATATCATTATGATTTTAAAACACAAACAAAACAATTGTTTCGCAAAGTTATGATTCAACATACCTAGGGTACACAGTCGTTCAAATTTTTATTTATGTATATATATATATATATATATATATATCTATATATATGTCCATACGGATGATAACTTGAGTAATTTTCGTCCGATTTTGATAAAATTTGGTTTGAAGGTGTATACGGCGGGATAAAATTGAATGAGTTCGCGAACCAGCATGATCGGACCATGGGAGGGGGGTTTAACGAAGGATTTTATGGGGTAAAAATGGGGTTTTCTCATTTTTACCCTTAAAACACAAAATTATTAAATTTTCTCCAGACCATTTTAAAGAGCTTAAAAAAACAAATTATTTAGTATATCAAAGTGTTTTTGTGCGGTGATTGGTTACGGAGAAAATTCAAAAAAATGTTAATTTAAAATTCCCATGTTATTTTTACGGAGAGTATTGTAAAATGTTGTAGTTGACTTGTTTATGGATATATTTTGATCAAACTTGGCGCATTTTATATTTCATACTAAGCTATTGGTATTTTAATAAAAAACACACTTTATTAGTTTCCCTGTAGCAGCTAACCTAGGTACACGTTAAAAACAAATGTTAATTTAATACATTAATTCAAAATCAATCCAGGCAAATGGAAATTCGCTTAGTCGGTAGGATTGCTGCAGCGGGGGTATTTACTGTTATGGGTAACGGAGAAAATTCAAAAATTGTAAATTTAAAATTCCCATGTTATTCTTTTCGAGAATATTGGCAAATTTTGTAGTTTGATATTTTATGGATATATTTTGATCAAACCAGGCAAATTTATGTATTTTATACTAAGCTATTAATATTTTACAAAAAATAAACTATATTAGTTTCCTTATAGCATCAAAACTAGGTACGCGTTAAATCTAATGTTATTTTAATTGGGAATAAATATGTCTTATTTATGGAAATATTTTCGTAAATTTGTAATCAGAAAAATTGAAATTTGCTTAGTCTGCAGGTTTGCTGCGGCGGGGTTATTCTCATTTCGGCAAATTTATTTATTTTATACTAAGCTCTTAATATTTTACAAAAAATACACTATTCGTTTCCTTGTAGCAGCAAACCTAGGTACTCGTTAAACCTAATGTAATTAGCCCACATAGATTTTATTAAAACTATATTCAGAAGAATGGAAATTTGCTAAGTCAGCAGGTTTGCTGAGGCGGGGATATTCTTAGTATATTTTAGTAAAAATGAATGGAAGGCTAATGTTATGCATAAAAAATTACGTAAATAGAAGAGGGTAGAAACTAAATGACTATTGGATTGGACGCTTACATGGAAGATCTTCTCAACGTGCTCCTTGGCTGAGTTCTCCTCGACCATGGGCTCAGTCGAGCGACCGAGCATCTCGTAGATGGAGGTGACGACGTCTAGCATCTCCTTCTTGGTGATGAGCCCGTCGCCGTTCTGGTCGTACAGCCCGAAGACCCACTGCAACTTCTCCTGGACACTGCCACGGGAGACCTTGGACAGGATACCCAGGAAGTCCTGGTGACAATACCAAAGACATGCTTATCTCATCCTACATAGGTGATCCACCGAGGCAATTACCAAAGTTATTAGTAAATAGGATGTATGGATATGAGGGAATAAAGCTTGGTAAACGGTTATATGTGTGAAAGAGTTTATTTAGTTATTAAATTTCACGAATAAAGTAAACTTAAAACAAAAAAGAATGGATTTTTAAGTTATGACGTGGTGTTGAGTTTGAAGACGACTTCTAAAGGTAGAGACAATTATCGTGAGTTTACAATGTTTGTAATACTGTATACGTGGTTTATAAATTCTTAATACTTTTAAACAACACAGTTAATACTTAATACTCTACTGTATACGTTAATACTTTAATACTTTTAATACTTTAATTCTTTTAATACTTTAATTCTTTTAATACTTTAATACTTTTAAACAACACAGTTAATACTTAATACTCTATACGTTAATACTTTAATACTTTTAATACTTTAATTCTTTTAATACTTTAATTCTTTTAATACTTTAATACTTTTAAAACTTTCTTATGAATTAATGGCAATCATACAAAGTAGGTATTTTAAGCCAAGAATGAATGGAACTATTCTTTAAGTAGTTTCCAGAATTTCCCAAACTTCATCACAAAAAATATGGTAAATGGAACTTAAACACAATGGATACATACAAAATTCAATAAGAGAAGCATAAAATACTCTCAAAATAAATACTTGTGCGAGTTAGAGTAAAAATAATATTTATATGGGAAGTTAGAATGCTGAGGTCATTTTAAATTTATGCATATGTAAATTTGTTGTCATATATACACACTTCTTTAGGACCGGGAATGTATCAGGATTCTGTCTTTAGTGAGAGCTACTCTACATGAGTTTATCGTAATAATTGCGACTAGAGACTTTATTTGCGGTAGAATACGTCAAGTAAAGTTGTGAGAGCGTGGGTGGAGTGGGGGTTCAGAATGCATTCCCCCATCCCCACCACCTGTTGACGGTAACAACAAGCGCACGTGGTAATAATCGATGGACTACCCCCGCCCTACCACCCCCACCCTTCAGCTTCCCGAGAGCAGCGTGACCTTTACGACTGCAGCGCGCTCTGACGTCACTTGATGTGATAGCTCGAACATTATTCAATAATCCCTTTACAAGTTCTCTTTTAGTATTTGTATTGAGATGCATCCAAATTTAATTTATATATTTTTATTTGTTGTGAAAAAATAAAGCTTTATCTCTTGCAGTATCGACGACTTAAACAATCCTCTTGTAGATCTATTGTAAAATCTGTAAATCTGAAGCTTATTTTATGTTTGCGATGTTGGAAGCATAAGTGTACACTATATGTCTATTATCTTAAGTTAGGTTAGATTTTATGATTTGCGTTTTGTTATACAGTAGTACATAAGATAAACCATGCTTTATAAATAGATGAGGGCTGTCTTTGTTAAAATAAAAATAACAAGAAACAAATAGTCATCAATAAAACGTGACCTATATAGAGTGCATGTTACTAACATTACCATTTCATCAACTGATTCATGTAAAGGATGATAAAGCTGTAAGGCGTAGCATGATTTATCCATGTCAGTATACACTACAGTTGCATTGACTTGTACAATATCTCACTTGTCATCACTAACCAGGTTTAAACAGGTAATATTACATTCCAGTTGTATGCTAAGTAAACAACCGACCTTATTTCTTATCATTAAAAGGGTCACTTGGAGTTTCTAAGCGTTTGATACATGTTTAATTTGTAGCTTCAAATAAACCAGTAGTATCATTAAAGCATAGTAATTACGTGTTTCACATACTCTACAAAACTCACCTCAAAGCTTATCTTGCCTGTCTGGGTGTGTTTCATTGTGTTGAACACATAATGGGCGTACTGGCTTGCATCTGAAACGTACACTGATTGTTAGGTTTCAACGTACCAGAGCTGACCACAACGCGGTCACCAACCGAACATGCTTTGTATTCCAACCGCACAATACGTATTCTGGTCCTTGCGATTGGCGAATTCTGGTTTGCTAGTGTGATTGGTAATGAATAATGCTGTTATGTATGTACTGCACTGGTAACTTTTACAGATCAAACTAGAAAGTGTTTTGTAAATAACACCCTGTCTATAACATCCAAAATAGGTTATTCAGTTTTAGAAAAATGAGTATACAAGAATTAAATTGCATTAAACACATTAGAACAGTTTTAGTGTCCTTTTGTGATAAAGGGGATACATTTGGAATATTAAGAATTATAAACTCACTTATACAACTTTGATTTCTTTTAGATTTGCCTCTAATATAGGTTGAATCGTTCCTTGCACATGTCGATTATGGTAGAAGGGAAGCTTACCCTTTAGAATAAAACTATGTAGGTTGTCATTTGAATACACAAGATGTCGCGGGCTCTGTAGAACCAGGTTATACTGCAAAACTAAGTAAAAAATAGCCAGTAACATATTTTCTATATCGGCTTCACTTAGCCATAATCCGTCGTTTGTAATTTTGCAAATATTGTCATTAACTCAAAGACCATTGGTTATTTTATTCGAAACATGGTACACACTTCAACTTTGTTGTTAAAAGTCTGCAGATTTTTTTTTTTCAAAATCCATAAATTTCAAAATTTAGGCCTATTAAAAATTCCATTCAATAAATACAAACGAAATAGCATATTACACTTAAAGGACTCATTGTTTGAAATATAATGACACTTTGATTATAAACACTGGTCAAGAAACAAAAAAGTTATTTCAAACTTTTTTGATAATCTTATTTCCAAAATGGCGGCCATTTAAATTTGCAAAGCTGACTTTCATAAAAAATAGCTGTTAAAACTATACATGGTGTCAAATTTAAAGCAGTTTAAAATTATTCAATTCTAATGGCACTTCTATTGTAAAAGTAACTTATTAAATAAACAAGCTTTGTCAATTTGTGTATAAAGTACCTTTAAAAAGGAAGCTATCTAAAAATTTTTAAGTCATAATAACTAGACAATAGGTAAAATTATAGGAACTACTATTTTTAAGAAACAAGTGTTACTGGCTATTTTTGACTTAAACATTTGGCTTTGCAGACTTCACTACGTACTTTTTTGGAAACCCTGTATAACATTTTTGTCTTTGGGCCTCTTAATTAATCACTGCATCATGATAAAAGTAAAAGTACAAACGTTATAAAAGACAAGAAAAAAGGAATGTTCTAATAAAAATATTTACGTGCTAATTACGAATATATTTTGGACGTATTCATTAAATAGTTAAAACGTAAACCTTGCAGTTTTTAAAAAATTATCAGAATTTGTTTTTATGTGAAAAACTAAAACAAAAGGAAATATTTTTACATAGTGAAATAAAGCATTTATTGGGTATTTGTTGATCATAAATCAAGACTGTAAAAACTACAGTGAAAAACAAAGAACGCTCACCTCCCTGAGGGAAGAACTGCGAGAAAATGTGCTTAAACGACTCCTCGTCCACCATGCCCGTCGGACATTCCTGTGAAGAAAAGTTACCACATTACCCACCAGGTCATCATCGTAACTGTTCAACACTCTCACCTATATCATTTAACAATATGTGTGTGTCTTTACGCACTCTGGCTGTGAAAAAGGGTAAGTTGGGTTTTTGTTGTGAACATTTATTATTTTGTAAAAAGCTACATATTTGGCATTTGGTGTTCTTTATTTTTTTTGTGAGTTACATTACTTTTTTAATTTTACTGCATCTTAGTAACCATAAGAAAATAGTTTATTCTAGTAGAAGTAGTATGGAATAGTAGAAATAGTACTATAGTAGAAAAGCGAGATCTATATAAAATAGTATGTACTAACTATGTAATTGCGTGGCAGCGCTGACCTAGTAAAGAGAGTGTGTTTAAGAATACATTATGGATTTGTTTGTTAAAAAAATTATATTTCATTGCTTTTTACCAAACTATTCACCAAAATACCGCAATTGGTATAAACAATCTGGAATCATCTTTGTACATCATTCAGTGTGCTAAATATGAATATTAAATACATTTAACACAGTGGAAAGCTTAGTTTGTATCAAAGTAACAAAGTACTGGAAACATAACAGTAAAACCTGTAGGTAGTTTCCGTTTCTTAAAGTAACAGAAATATGCGTGTAAATGCTGACGAAAAGGAATTTTCGTGACTGGCATCGACTGCTAAACAAGAAACCCCAAAACCAGTGACAAAGAATTTAAAAATCATTCGATGCTAAGTTTTTTAAACGTAAATAAATATCAAAACGTTAAAAACTTTTTTAACAGTATTATAATGTTTTCATTGAATGAAAAAGTTAATACCTGTACTAGAAACAATGCCGTACTATAAATACCGTACTTGAAGCAAATCAATACTTGAGATGAAACAGCTGAATAGGCTTATATGTTAACTCAATCACACTATTGGGAGGAATACCATCTATAAACTTACACTACATTACTTTATATTTTATTGTTGATCATAAACATAAATGTAGGGCTAGGTTTGGTCAATGGGGTGCCTTGACACTATTTTTGGGGGGCCTTTACAAAAGGAGTATAAATGTAGAAGTAATAACTGGGTCATGGAGCTGTGTTAGGGGGTTTTTCCTAAGAACTGAGCTTATCTCATCAGACCCATTTCAAAAAGATAATTTAAAAAATTCCGATAAGGGAAGCATTTTTACCACCATTTACTACAATACTAACTTAGTAAACCAGTATTTACTCACTAACAATTATAATTGCGTTTGTTGCCTTTAGCAGAGTTAAAACAAAGGTTAAAACTGTAGGAGGGATCAAATTATTTATTGAAAATGTGTTTAAACCGTTTGAAAAACACGATACGCTTATTGCTATTGGTTATTGCTGATTTGTTGTTCCTGTTCTTAGGTATTATTTACTTTATGCAATGTTTCCACTACAAACTAGAACAAAACTAAAGTAAAGACAGTAGCATTGGTGTAATAATACGTTGCAATAACATATCGAAAACAAGTTTTTTTATTTTGTTGGTAGTGTTGTGTCATTAATGTGTTTTTTCATCAATGATCTACATTTGTTTTTCAAAGACAACATAAATTCTAATTCTTGTATTTTTCAATATTTCGTTAAGGTATTTTGGTAGGGAAAGTTAGAATCATATACACCTTAAAAATATACTAGGAACTGAAAAAGAACAACCTTAAAAGCTGTCACTTTCAATATCATTTAACTGGACTAGTCACGGCATTAAAAATTATGAGTTTTTTTTTAAAATTATAAACCTTGAAACCTGACGTTAAGGTGTTAAAAATATCATTTATCTTTTCAAAACATGTTATTGTAATTACCAAACAGAATTTTCTAGGAAATTATAGTGTTTTTATCTAAAATACTACTTTTACACAAAGAGAGTTTGGAAGAAGTTGGGTGGAAGGAAGACCTACATATTGATCAAGTTGTGAAAGAACGCTCAAAACGTGTCCTCGCTAAGCCAACTGAGCGTTTTAGTTTGTGAGTCTATAATCTACAGTTATGTACAGCGCATCTGATCAAACATCTATTCTATAAAAAACAATCTGAAACCCCTTAAACATGACAAGCTAAAAGTTTTAGTTGACTAATTTGTTTAGTTGCAATACAAATGTAAATAATTTTTTTAATTGTTATGTTAACATGCGAGAGTTCTTAGTATACTGATTCCTGATAAAACACTGACAAATATTACAATAGCGAAGACTTGAACAATACGACTAAAACATCGTTTACAGCAAATAAGGAGTTCACTAAACAAAAGATCAACGATGCAATATTTATGATATTGAGGTTAAAATGCAAATTGTAAAAAATCGTAAACTAACAGATAGTTGACAGTGATGGAATGTCAGGGCTTGTGTCTAAAACCGTTCCCTTCTGTTCTGGTTTCTGTAAAAGACTTAAGCTAATCAAATTACAGCCCAGCATTATACTGATAAACAAACACCGTATTACAATGCAAACAAATTAAAAGCAATCTAAAAAAGTCTTGGTTGAAGCAGGCCAATCAAAAGGTTAAAGTGATGAAATACTGAGTAAGAATAATCTCATCAATACAACAAAGTTAATATTAAAACAGACAATTGCTACAGTCACACACTTCAAAAATAATATAATCCTAAAATGTATACTTATCTTTCAAATAATTTCTTTAAATTATATCGCCTCGGTAAACTACTCAGAATATTAATATTGTTGGTACCAACTAACCTGTTTGAAGCCCCTGTAGATAAGCTGTATTTCTTTTCTTGTGAATTTGGTGGTCTTGGTGAGTTTGTTGAGTTCTTCCGGCCGATAGCGAGCGACGTGGATATTGAACTGGTCCAACTCTTCCTCTGTAACAAAAATAACAACTCTAGTCTGATAACAATGAAGTAGAAGAATTGAGCAATTGGCATAGTGCGTTGGTGAAAATCAATATGTATGGAGTAAAATCTTTTACTCTATACATGTTGGGTGTAAATTACTAATATCTGTCAAATACGCCAGCGATTTTACCATGCAAGACTGAAATAGCTTAAAATGAATCATCCGATAATGTTTTACCAACTATTACAGAAACATTAAGTAATAAAGGGACACTAGTCCCATAAACACTAGCCCAATCTGTGTTTGGTTCATTCAACTGGTTTCTCTTTCAATTGACTTCATCTTGTCCATTTAGATGGGAAGTCTACTTCTATATCGAGATGTCAATTTTATTACTCAATCATTTGGCCATTATCTGACTACAATAGAAAAATAAATAAAAAAATTCTAAACAATTTCTTATGTACGCGAATACCAAGTTACGGATGCGGTAAGTGCACTATAGACAATATAGGCTTATATCAACTCTTTCGCAGAGGTAGGGGTTATGATAATATATTTTAAATCCGTTACAACATAAATTGGGACAATTAATTATTATTAATGTAATTAACATACTGTTACATGAGTAAACTGTCCTGATCTACAATTTCGGGATTTAAAACGGCTTTTACACAATATTACTTAACATATTAAAATAAAGGTATAAAATGTAAGGAGGCTAATTGTGTTGTTTGGCGTAATTTTGTAAGGATAACATCTTAAATTATAAAAGTTGATGATAATTATCAATATCATGCCGCCATAAGAACAATCCCCCATAACAAACCCTGCCCCAACAGACCTGGAATCTAAGCAAGTTTCCATTTGCCTGATTTTATTTTCAATTAAATATATTTAAATAACATTATGTTTAACAGGTATCGGTCAAAAATTACTCAAGTTATCGGGCTCACGGACATATAATATTGAAAAGGATGGTATTTTTGGCCTCTGAAGACCTCAAAACGAAAAAGTAAATCGGTCCAGGCCCCTGTCTTACCATGAGAACTATGGTAATAGCTTATTCTCTATGTGGGAAATATCTAAAAAAAAAACAAAAAACAAAAGAAACAATGTACAGTATATGAGAAAATACTTGGAGAGAGAAGAAGTTTGTCAATCGGTCTCGTGAGGTCCATACATGTTACAAACGTTGCCTAATCCCAGACGATGCATTTACAGCACTTTACCCGCAACTTCTCATCCGCGCGGTCTTCGAGGTCAAACTATTTTACAGGAGATGTATTGTTGTCAATATCAATAAATAATGTGAATTATGTTACTTGTAGGCCTATAGTTTGTTTTAAAATTAAATAATCTGATTACCATAAAATATGACTTATAGTACAACAAATGGTTCAGATTAGTTAGTCACAAGGTCAGGGGGACAGTAACCACGTAAGATAAAAAAAAAATCAGGGGTTTCCTCAAGGATGATAAATACCCCCGCCGCAGCAATCCTGCCGACTAAGCCAATTTCCATTTGTGTAAATTGATTTTTAATTAAACCAATTTAAATAACATTAGGATAAATGTGTACCTAGGTTTGCTGCTACAAGGAAACTAATGAAGTGTATTTAAAAAAAATATTAATAGTTTAGTATAAAATAAATAAATTAACCAAGTTTGATCAAAATATATCCATAAGAATAACATTGGAATTTTAAATTTATAGTTTTTTGAAATTTCTCCGTTACCGATAACTGTACAAAAACACTTTGATATACTAAATTGTTTGTTTTTTTTAAGCTTTTTAAAAGGGTCTAGACAGAAATTGGGAAATAGTGACACGGGTATAAGCGATGAGTGAAACAGACAACCTTCTCAATTACGGAACTGTTTACGACCTTTAAACAAAAACATGTATTAAACAAATCGCCCTCGGCTGTGCTGTTAAACAGTTGGAGGTTGGGTGACAAAGCCATTGTTTCCTGGTTGAATTGTGTTTTGTTCGTCGGCAGCACATAACGCCGCAATCGGTTATGAGGGAACAATAGCTCGCGACCGACCGGCTCCTGGGACCGCTCCTGTATCCTGTGTTTATATACCAGATACACGACCAAACCGGGACGGAAATGATTAACATGGTCAAGACAGACTATTTACGACAAGGTAGAAACAGAATTTGATCATTAGCTTGGCCGGTAGGATAATGTCTGGCTAAAAGGTAAATTTGGTAATACAAATAATGACTTTGTAGAGACAGAATGCTTAAAAAATTTTATCTTAGTAAGAGTTTAAAAATGAAGTGTAGGCCTACAGTGTTTTGAAATAAATTCTTTTTATTTTAGTTAGCAAATGTTATTTTTAATATTTTAAAGGTGCAAAGAAGAGTATATGTTAAAAACAATATCCAATCACGTAACTGTCCAAAAAAACTGATTAAAATCTTAATAAAAAACCTGACAATGAAACGCATCTTTCTCAAATAAACGGCAGTGCGTTTCTAAGTAAAACTGTTTATAGAATGGAATCATCATAACTACACTAACCAATTGCTTTTAAACATTATTTTTACACAGCTTCTTAGTTGTAAAACAGTAAAACTGAACTTCATTGGAATTTAACATACAAACAAATTAATTATAAGGGACTCCGGTACGATTACAGGTATTTAGATTGCTAGTGACACTTTTATTAAATCCTCTCTGCATGCAACGGTAATAGGAACAGAATGCTGACGTAAATCACCATTCTGTCAGTATCGATATTCACAATCATGCTGTGTCGTTATCAGTGACGCATTGTCGTTATTCCATCGCCTGGCGACTCATTGATCAATTACATCGACTCTTAGATTATCGCCACTGTAATCGTCGGTGATTTTTTACTACACCACCTGCATTGTATTACTCACGGCAAAACAATAATTGTGTAGCTGAGGACCAGGTTTAATTGAAGACAGAAAAAGAAACGAAACAGATTACAGTATTTATAACTTTGTACAGAAAGTAACTACATTTTCCTCCAGTCACCCTAGAAAGTGGGCTTCCACAGATTAGTACAGAAAGCCTTACTTTGGCGCACAGTTTTACTTTGGCGCGCACCAGTATTCCAACCAAACAAAAGAAAACAGCAGGCTTTCATTATGCACGTAATCCGTGTACGCTTGGAAATAGGTTGGCAACACTTACAGATATCTGGTGCACAGTTTCCCATTTCGTTCAATGTTTGGGTTTAACCTAACCTAAAAACGTGCTGTACAGGGTTTGAAAGACTATCTATTTACATGATTTATAGTAATTGTAGGAGAAATATAATGTGTAACGCGAATGAAAATTGCCTTTGCTGCAATCGAGAAACTTTCCACACTCGCCTACGGCTCGTGCGTAAACATTTCTTTCGTGTGCAGCAAAGTGCCACTCAACGATCAAATATATCACTTTGCCCACTAGCTACACAAAATAACTAACTATTTTCGATGACATCTGCCATAAAAACGATACTTTTCCCCCAGCTTTAACTTAGAGTAAAGGAAAAAAGATCAGCTGATTTTCCCTTGATCTCATTCAGTTCTCTATTTTCCCACTGCGAGGTTTCCTTAACAATTAGTTTTTTAATTTGAATCATCTGTTTTCGTTAAATTTGATGTTCCTGTGTTTGGCTTTACTTATAGAGATGGATAGATTATAACTGGAACACCACTTTGTGTTTAAAAAGCGTGACACTGTTTTTGCTGTTTTTTTTCAGACTTTCCGTTGTTATGTTGGCAATATGATTTGTTGGTTGGGTAGCTTTCAAATTCAATTCATTCCAACCAAACCATGCTGTTTATTTGGGGTTATTTGATGGACTTTTATCAACTATTTATTTGCTCCGAACTATAAAGCTTTCTATAGATCTATTTATTAACTTAGGCCTACAAAATTCCTTTGGCTATTAATTTAGCCCACATAGAACTCAAAGTCATTTCTTAATAAAGATAATTCCTAACTTGTGTTTTATTTCTGTCTAATGAGGTAAGCCTAAGTCTTGATCTTAATCTTATAATATATGAATTATTTTAGGAATAAATAGATTTGGTAAGTTACAATATGAAATTTATTAGTGAAATACAAATATAAGATAAGTTATTGGTTGAATTAGCTATAGGGTCTAACAATGGTAAATTTACAAAATGGTGGGGCTTCCAAAGTGGATAAAAAGATTCTAGGCTATAATAGATATTGGGTTGGTTTCTTCTGAAGTGATTAATATTTAAATATATGAGCTCTTGATCTCAGGGAGGGGTGGTCATGCCGGTTTGAATGATATATTTAGGCTTTATTTAAAATGCAGATAATTTAATTATTGTTCTGAAATAGGCTAGGTTTATGATGATATATTGTAATATGTCAATGTCCAAAGAAAGATTCCAAATGGTTTCACTGAATTTAATGAAATAAAATAAGATTTAAAGATTAAATTTTGAATAAAAGTTCAATTTGAAATATATAGATCTTGATGAGTTAAGTTAATTGGGCCTATTAGGCTATGCTGACTTTGTACAATATGTAATAAATAAAATAAGGGTTGGTTAAAATTTGGTACTTTCAAGGCACTTGTCCCAAATACTTTTGGATGATAAGAAATTTAAAATTTAGATTACACTTTGGGATAAATTTAATTTAAGTCAAGCACAATATCCTATAAAATGATGTTAACACTGTGAAGAGTTGGCCGGATCTGGGGAGAGGCAATGGTTGAAGCTCTGGAAGTCCATGTCCATTGTTGAAATGATGTACAGCAGTTTAATTCACATAAATGACACTTGCCACAGTAATTTTGATTTTCTTTGGATAATTTTAAAAAGTAATACTATATTTAAGATGTTATTATTATATTGCAATTTTCTTACAATTATATATTATTCTAAGTAAATTTGATTATTGCTGATTTTTGATAAGTATAGCATAGATCTGGTGAGAATTGGCATAAATATTATATTGTAACATAAAATATGATGATGCTTCTGTGGGGTGATGGGATATTATGTAACATAGAA